GAAGAGGTCTTTCACCTCTTTTGTTAGATTGAGTCCCAAATATTTTCTTTTCTTTGAGGCTATTGTGAATGGGATAGTTTACCTAATTTCTCTTTCAGTTGATTCATAAATGATGTCTAGGAATGTAGTTGACTTATGGGTGTTAATTTTATATCCTGCTGCTTTGCTGAATTTATGAATTTTAGAAGTTTTCTAGTGGAGTTTTTTGGGTCTTCTATATGTAGAATCATTCATTTACAAATAGGGATAGTTTGAGTTCTTCTTTTCCTATTGATATCCTTTTATTTATTTATTTATTTATTTTTCTCTGTCTCATTGCTTTGGCTAGAGTTTACAGAACTAGGTTGAATAGAAGTTGTGTAGGAAGGTATCCTGTTTTGTTCCAGTTTTTAGAGGGAATGCTTTCAATTTTTCTCCATTTATAATGATGTTGGCCTGGGGTTTAGCATATATAGCTTTTTTGATCTTGAGATATGTTCCTGTTATCCCTAGTTTTTCTAGTGTTTTGAACCTGAATGGATGCTGTATTTTGTCACATGCTTTTTCTGCATCTACTGAGATAATCCTGGGATTCTTGTCTTTAAGTCCATTGATGTGATGAATTACATTTATGGATTTCTGTATGTTGAACCAACCTTGTAGCCCTGGGATGAACCCTACTTGATTATAGTGCACTATCTTTTTAATATGTTTTTGTATGCAATTTGCCAGGATTTCATTAAGAATTTTTGCATCTATGTCATTCAGGAATATTGATCTGAAGTTTTTCTTTCCTACATGTGTCTTTGTCTGGTTTTGGTATCAGGTTGATTCAAATCTCATAGAATGATTTTGTAAGCATTCCCTCCTTTTCTATTTCATGGAATAATTTGAGGATTGGTGTTAATTCTTTGAAGATTTGCTAGAAGAACTCAGCTGAAAATCTGACTGGTCCTGGGCTTTTTTCCTTGTTGGTAGGCTTTTATGCTGCCTTCAATTTCATTGCTTGAAATTGATCTGTTTAAATTTTCAATGTCCTTGATTTAATAGAAGTTTGTCAATGTCTTCAAGATTTTATATTTTATTAGAGTATAAATTTTCAAAATAGTTTCTGGTTGTTGTCTGTATTTCAGTTTTTTGTTGTTGTTTAATTTCATTGATTTCTGCTCTGATTTTAATTATTTCCTATGTTCTGCTGCTTTGGGCATTGATTTGTTCTTCTTTATAGGGCTTTGAGATGTAATGTTATGTTATTTTTTGGGTAACTTTCTCTTCTTTTAATGGATAAGCCCATTGCAATAAACTTTCCTCTTAGCACTGCCTTCCTACTGTTCCAGAGATTTTGATATGTTGTATTGCTATTCTCATTTACCTATTAGTATTTTTTTATTTCATCCTGATTTCTTCTGTTATGCATTGGTCATTCCAGGTATAATGTGGATTTCTTCTGTTATGCATTGGTCATTTGCAGGGTATAGTATTCTTGGCTAGCATCCATTTTCTTTCAGAGCTTGGTATGTATCATTCTTTCATTTTGTATTTTATTGGTGACTTCTAATTTCAGTCAGTTATGATTGATAGAATGCAAGGTATTAT